GAGCTTGCGCACAAGTTTGAACATTTATCTAGCGGAAACGACTATTGAGACGTCTCAAATTTGCATTATCGAGACAAAAATAGGACAGTACGCAAGCTCTTGCAGTTCCGTGTACGTATATAGTGATGTGGAGCTGTGTGAGTGCGTACGAGCGCATACAAGGCACGGGTGTACATTCTCTTAAGGGGGGAACCTGGTTTAGAACGCTAAAAATAAAGTGGTTTTTAAGAATATTTTTCAGGAACAAAGATAAAATAGAACTTCGCTAAACTTTAAGGGTGTGTTATTACGTGTGTGAAGAATAAAAAAAAAAAATTTTGTATTAGAAACTAGTGCTTTTTATTCCTGGTATTTACATAATCTTTATAAGCATTTCACCACGAAGAGTAACAGATTGTGTACAATGTGGCATATCCAATTCTTATCTGAAACAAAATAAATTGATTTTTTCTTTAATGTTATGTAATTTTGTCCTATATGAGCTAAAAAAAGAATGCAAAAGTATAAAATTGTACAAATTATGGGACTTTTAAGAAAAAAATTTGATATTCACGACAAAATCTCGACTTATTTGTAGAAAAAAAGTTATTTAATTTGATTTTTTTTCGGAGTTCTTAGTTCATAGAGGACAATTATTCATTATCTAACTAAAGATCCTTGGGAAAAGCCGATCGTTCAACTAGATTTTTCTCTATCGTGTACACAAATCCTCGAAACATGGTTTCGAAAAAAACGTGTTTGAAGTTTTCGATACAGAAAAGTAATAGAAAACTGACAGTAATCAGAGGTTAATCTGCTATACCAGGCCCATACAGCAAGCCTTCCGCTTCCTCATGAAACTCGTTTTGTTGCATTTGAAGCAGTCTGCGAGCTGTTCGACCCTCCTTCGTGCTGCTTGATCTGCGGCGCTCCTGCCTCGAGACTCGTTGCGCGTCGTGCGTATCGGCAAAAAATTTGCTCCGTTGTCCAACGTTTATTTTTAGTGCGTTCATTATTCGTAGGATGGCAGAGTACCCTTCATTAAAAATAGTGGCAGCAATGAAAACGGCAATTTCGATAATTTTTATGCCTGAATTTAAATGTTTCGGCGCCAGATTGTAGAATTGAAGTTTTCGTTCGAATTCTGGGTATGGCCACCTAAACATCGAATTAGCAGGTCTTCCTTCGAAAGTTCTTCGTAAATTGGTTATATGTGTTTAGCGACATCTGGATGAAGTGGTGGTGGATGGTTGAATAATTTTTCTTGATCTGCCGCCTGAGCCTTCCGCCACTCGCACCAGCTGTCGGCTCCGATCGGACAATTGTCATGAATCGGATTTTCATTTGTGGAACACGAATGGTGTAATGTTGCCATTACGGCTTTTCTCATATCGGTCACGGAATCTATATTTCGTCTTATCGCTAGTCCATAATACGTGGTTAACTTTTTAATTA